TTTCAAACCAAAACACAAAAGTCCAGTTGGCATGGCTCAACTTCCAGGAAACTCTGCCTGGATGACAGAGAATCTTCGACACCATCTTCAAGAACACTTTGTATTTAGAAGGCTATATAAATGTCCTCTGCCTTTTAAAACTGCAATAATATAATCATGTATATGATGTAATATGGAAGACCCTATAAACACAACTCCTAAGAAAAACCTCTGTACATAACAATGATAATTCAGGATGTCTTATAAGAAATGAACAAGCAAGTAAAAATAAAAATTGAAAACTATTCTTAAGAGTGTACTGAAACAAACAAGACAGCTACTTTTGTCCAAGTTTATAATGCTTCCATTTCTATTTTTCCCTAAGTACATTCTGTTGACCATCAGCATAAGTCAAAGGTTGGTAAAAAGAGTAACTAGAGTCATTTTTAATTGTTATAATATACTGATAACTTCAGAGTGCTTGTGAAAAAGAGAACATCTAATTCCCTCCCTGCTTATTTGTAGTTTCTATTTAAACTTATAAGTTTCCATGCCAACTGCAGTTTCCTTTGATCCACTAAACATTTGCTGAATTGTGTTGCTGGTTTTTGTCTGAGTCTGTTATTTTTGCTCTCCTTTAAAATGGCTTTAATCTGTTCTATCTGATAACATTTTATTGCCTTTTGTAATTTTAGATGTGTTTATTATTATTTCTTTACTTTATATCTATAGTCAGATTATTTTTATAAATGAAATACGAAAGCATCTGTCAAAATAGGGCTTCTCTGAATTTAAAAAAATTGGGGGGTGGGGTTGTAACAAGTTGCAGCATGCGTTTTATACTTTAACCAGTGCAAATGACCAGAATTATTCACTTGTAAATCCAACTCACAGAAAATCGTCTCTCAGATTTCCATTATAGGTTCCGCAGAGACCCATAGTTCTGCTCTTCCACTCAGCTCTGAGTTGAATATACACTCTTTTGCCATCTTTAGCAAACTGGATTTTTAAACCAAATTTAGTTTTTAGCTGCACAAACAATGAAGACAGGTTCTGTACTTCCACATATCCTGAATGTAACAGAAAAAGAATTAAATTCTGTATGCATACATAGATTCATTTCCATTACACTATGCTTTTTGGGAATAAGCATTATTACAGGTAGTCCTTGACTTTAAACTATTTGTTTAGTGATCATTTGAAATTACAAAGATTTGAAAAAAGGGACTTACAATTGGTACTTGAATGTATTCACCACAGTCACATGATCAAAATTCAGGTGCTTGGCAACTGGCAGGTATCCATGCCAGTTGCAGTGTCCCAGGATCACATGATTGCCATTTGCTGCTTTCCTAGCTAGGTCTGACAAGCAGAGTCAATGGGAAATCCAGCTTTACTTAACATTCACGCGATTCACTTAACAACCACAGCAAAATAGGTCACAAGATTGGGCATGATTCATTTAACGACCACTTTTCTTAGGGGTGAAAATTCTGGTCCCAATTGTGGTCATAAATTGAGGGCTACCTGTATGCAACATGGAAAAAGGAGTTTCACGTGTCACCCCATCTTCCCTCTACCTAGTTGATGCAAAACCCAACCTACATGGCTACATGTCTGTGAAGGAAAGAAACTCCTCTTCCCTAACTAGATTTCAGAAAGACAAACCACATCTGCCTTCTCTCCCATTTAGATTAATGGCTCCAATAGCAATAATGATAGCTTATTATGAGACTAATTCTATAGCCCTTTAGTACAATTTTATGTGTCCATCTGAGATAACACTGGAAGTTTAGTCATGGCAACTGGACTTCATTTCTTTTTTGGTCTGAAATGTTTTGCTGCTTATCCAATTAACTTCTTCAGCTACTTGGATAAGCAGCAAAACGTTTCAAACCAAAACACAAAAGTCCAGTTGGCATGGCTCAACTTCCAGGAAACTCTGCCTGGATGACAGAGAATCTTCATCACCATCTTCAAGAACACTTTGTATTTAGAAGGCTATCTAACTGTCCTGCATGGAAAAGGGAGTAAGAAACAGCAAGCAAAGAAACTAAAAATATGAGAACAAAAAAAAGGAAAGGAAATATGGTTAAATCTTGTTTATATTCCCAAACTATTCACTGTGCTTCATAGTTTTATAGCCTTGCAAATCATAATCAGTTCCACCATGTTTATGCTTCAGGGTCTCGTTTGTTAATAATTACATCTTTTTTAAAAAAAAATCTCAGTAGTTCTGTTCAGTTACAGCTTTTCCGTCTTCTTCCTCTTGACTCATTCACTCTTCCTTTATATATTTCTTTTGTGATTGAATATGCTTTTGTTCTCTATATATTGTCAAACCATTTCAATATACTTTGTTGAACTGAACAGCCATGTTCACTAGAACTCATTGTTGACCTGATTCAATCCATATCCACTCCAAACCCATTCTTGATTCTGTTTTTTACTTGTTTCACCACATATTCTTTTTAATTTGCCTCTTCTGATGGATTCTGCAGAACATCATGGTAGGTGGTTCTTGGTGGAGCTACACAAAAATATACTATCCCTTTTTTTCTATAGAAACATTGGCTGAGTATTTGACTTTTCTGAACATTCAAATGACTTTAAATAGAATAATTGCTCACAGCTAATATGTAATTCCTATATCTCAAGTGAAAGACTATTTTTTTCCACAGGGACAAGTGTGACATACAAATGAATCGTGATAAGAGAAAATTATGAAAACTCTTTAATTTATTTTTGCTTTTCTAAACAGAAAGATAAAACTGTGGCCCATGATGGATGAAATTTCTATAATGACTCTGTAATGGAAGTATAATACAGCAACTAACTGCAACAAGATATGACTTAAAGCTACAACATTTGTCCCAATTCAATTGTTTTGGCACATAGAATATCATAAATGATAGCCAGCTAGTTCAGTTCTTGTGATCAATCAGATCTAGCTATTTGATTTGAACCAATCATTGGCTCCTAAACTGACAAGATGTTTACTGAAGCTACAAGGTTTGAATTATAAATTCATTTTAATTCATTTAAAAGATAATGTTGATCTAATATCCTTTTGCGAAAATATGTTCAGAACCATATTGCAGGAAACAGCTGCATTCATTGGAGAATCCTCCTGAAATCCTCTGGTCTTCATATCATGCTTGGACTAATGGCTTGGTAGTTCCTTCCAGGGAAGGTCCCACCTGACATCTACCCTTATTCCTAATGTTCAAGAAAGATAGAGCTATCACAGTCTTTCTATTTATTAAAAAGCCAAGAAGCATTGAAAATGGAAATAATTTCAATAGTGTAAACTCCTCACCATGTAACAAAGAAGCGTGGTATCTAGAAAAGTCACCACTTCCGCAATCTTTTTGGTGATAAGAAAACCAATCTCATATGACATTAAAAAATAATGTTAAAAATAGCTAAAATGTAAAACCTACCTTTAACTTCAAAAATAAAAATGCAAACATTGAATGTTAAAGAAGATAAAGAGCTGCCTAGCTCATAAAAAAAAACTTGGTAAGTCAAAGTTGCATCTGCAGATCCTCCAGGCAGATCATGCAGATTTGCTAAAATGAAATGCCATCTGCCCTTAAGTCTCCATAAATAGACAAGACTGTGTTACAAATTAATATTATTAATTAGAAGAAAATTTGACAAAGGAAAACATATTGTCTGGAATACAACCTGAAGTACAAAATGGTAATTAAAATATATGCAATTCTCCAACTTATAGAGAGGGAGAAAGAAAATGAGACTTAGCAAAGGCAAAGGATAGAAATAAAATCGTAGACTTGCCTAATTCTGTCTCACCATCTTAGCTGTTTTAATTTGAATAGCAATTTTCCAAAGAAAAAGTGTATCTACTTCATTTATCTAGACTCCTGGAAATTCCCAAGTTTACTGAATGGCTGTGAGAACAAAAATACTTTTTTCCAAATGTGGTCCACAGACTTCAATAATATTCTGCTTTTTGTTTTAAAACAATGGAACTTGTTTGATCTCCAGCAAAAGGAGGAGAGGTCTCTGTATTTTGCCCAATGCAGCCTGGCATAAGGGGCTGGTGGACAACATGATAATATATTTATTTCTCAGCTTGGTTAATACAGTACATTAAAAGGAATTTAGGTACATGAAGATAATTAACTATTGAGTAATAAATGGCATCCTACCATTTAGGGTGAATCCCTGGCTGAAGGAACCGTACTGTATTTCACCACCCCGGATGAGAGTCACTTGCTTGCTTATGTCATCTTCAAAAATTAGCGTCAAAGACTGAATGCAGTCATAATCAATGCTCTGTATGAACCAAAGGAAGAGGAGGACTGAGTCTTATGGGAAAAGGAACATATAGAGCAAATGTTGTTAATCTGCATTAGATTCCAATTTTTAACAATATTCCATTTTTATTTTACTTTTCTCCCCACCCCAAAATTTATTCTTACAACATTTTTGTAAAATAGATTAATCTTGAACTGCTTTTAAGATTGTAATGTATATGCAACCTAGCTGGGAATATTGAACAGTACATGCTCATATTGAAAAAGTAACAGCTAACAGTTATTTATGCTGGTGTGAGACTTATGGTGGCCTAGAGTTCCCCAGGACTCACAATTTGGAAAAGTTGATGAGAGAGAGTGACATGATGATTTTTCAAGACAAAATGGTGAATTAAATGCTAGCATAAAGCACCAATAAAAGAGTTTTAAGACCTTTTGATATGATTAAAAGAAAGTTCAGTTTTGAATTATAAAGAGAAGTATATTTATTATTTAAAACAAAAAATCACTTCATGAAAATGTACACTGCAAAACACAGGTGCAAAATGTAAATGTAATGTACCTAATAAAAATAACTGAAACTATTGAAACATAACCAGTATTAGTTAAAAAGCATCACAGCTAACTCTCTCTTAGAATCCAATCACTTCAGTTAATCAACTAAAATAATTTTAAAATAATTCAAATATTTCATCACATTCAGCGTATCCCAGATTTAACCCACCATCATTTTAAATGCTTGATCAAATATTTTTATACACTATGAGCTTCCAGATCTATTGTTCCAAGAAAAGATCACATAAAATATCAAATAAATATCTTAGTCAGCTTCAAAATGCTCTTATCTGGTTGGCAATATACCAAGCTGTTCAGACCTGTCACCAAGAGCATTTATCTGTCTAACACACCTGGTCAGACTGTAACCAAATATGTAGATGCTTGTGTAATCATGCGTGAATGAAAAACCCCTGTAGACAGTAAAAGGCACAATTGCTTTTACAAACCCAGTGCTTACAGTTGAAACAAAATCCAAGTTCAGATCATACAAGATACTCAATATCAAGAAAAATACTGATTTTTTATTGCTAATCTTCATAAGTAATTTATTGGCTTTCTCTAAATTAGATATATAGGGATTTATTTATCAACACAAAATGTTAATTAAACCGTCAACTCACCTGTTCACAGAGACTTTTCTGTAAAGTAAGTGTGAATTTATCTTTCCCAGTGCCTTTTACCAAAATATACTGACAGCTCCCAAGAAAGGTATAATGGCGACCATCAAAAGTTGTGAAATGGGATTCATCAACAATTGAACATTCAGCTTAAAATAAAGATTGATCATTACAAAAAGTGTATTATTTTTTATTTTTATTTATTTATTTGATTTCTTTGACTCCAACCAACTCTGAGAACAACATAACTAAAAGCATAACATAAACTAAAGGGCAACATTACAACTGAAAAGCAACATAAAAACTAGTAAAAAGAAATTAAATAAGAATTAATCCAAAAGGAATTACTTGCCTGAACCACAAACCAGGGATGATCTTACCTAGTGATTTTATGTAGATGTTGAATATTTGTATTCAGTTTCTAATATATGTATTGCATAGAACCAAAGCAAATGTAAAGTGCCTTCATTGTGCAATGTATTGCTCTTCTAACCTTCATTACACAATGTGCATTTTCTCTTAAATTTTTAACATTATTTAATATGCACTAATGAAAGCTGTTTCAGGACATGCCATAAACTGAATTTCAAAAGTAATTTGCAATTCAGAGCTCATAGAAGTTCATTGCTAAAGAAAATGTCCCCTTTGAATTGAGCAGTCCTTTAAGTCTCCTGGTGGTTTCATGGAGAGGTCCTTATAAGAAAAGGGTTTTAACAAATCAGAATTGTTTTTACATTGTCTTCTCCTGTATTGTTAGTTTGAGTTCCTTGTCCAGGATTTCCAGATGATCTCTTGCCTGAGTACTAACCAGATCTGATCCTGCTTAGATTTTCAAGGTCACCCAAGGAGATATTTAGTCTTAAACATCTTTCAAGGTCTTCCATGCACTCAAGTAGTTATAGATTGCAATTAGAAAAATAAATGTACTTTTGCTTATTTATGCAGCTACAAGTAGACATCAACTTACAATCATTCATTTAATGGTTCAAAGTTACATTGGCCTAAAAAAAGTGATTTATAACCTCTCCTCAAAATTAAAACCATTGTACTGAGCCTGGGGTCACATGAATACAATTCAAATGCTTGGCAATTGGCCAGTATTTATAACCTGTGGCAACCTCCTGTGGTCACATGATCATGATTTGTGACCTTCTCAGCTGGTTTCCAACAAACAATATCAATTGGGGAAACTGGATTTACTTAACAACTGTTTAATTCATTTAATCTGTGGTCAAAATTATTGTAAAATGAAGTTGGATCCTATGATGATTCGCTGAATGATCACATTGTTTAGCAGCCAAAATTCTAGCCTCAATTGTGGACATAAATTGAGGACTAACTGCACTTTGCTTCTTTCTATGTGCAAACTAGAATCTGGATTTTTCTGTTTCAGATACTGAGTATTAAACTCAAAAAAGGTTTATGAATTAGGCTTGATTGATTCATAATTCTACTTCTAGGATAATATGGGATTATGTAATTATAATTCTATATAATCTCTGATTCTATTCACTAAAGTCATCTGAAAGAATTTCCTGCTTTAGATGGGTTTGGCCTGGCTTAGCTGACCTTACTCTATATCTGTTCCAGCTTTTTTTTTCCATTCCTGATCAATTGGTAAAACTTTTCTTGTTTGTTTTCAAAACTAATCCTCTTGGACAAGTGTTTAATAATGGACAATATAAATTCATTTATGGTGTTCTATGTTTTAAATTGATTTTGTAGTTTACCTTCTGAGGTGTTTTTGGTATATAAAGGTGTATACATATACAAACATATTTAAGATTTCAGGTTAATTAAAAAAAGACAAAGAAGGTATATCTAAACTGAAATATAATCACCAGAGTCAGCCACTGCTCAAAGGTTAAAACATTATTCACAATAAACATGAGGGAATCAGTGAAATCTGGTATGTTGTTACATAGAAACATTTATCATGTTTTCCATATAGATTTGATTAATAATACTAATATCCTAGGATGCAATGTAATCAAATCATATAACAGCTTACTTTCTTTTCTGAAAAAGTTCCTTAGTTACATTTTTGTAGCTAAAAATTCTGTATCTTATTTTTGAAGTAAGGAAATTTAAGGATTTACACAACTGAATTGAATTCTGAGTCAATGTGCCATTTATATATTTATTATGACTGTATACGTTGCCCAATATTTAACAACATTCAATCTCAAGATTACCATCATAAAATCTAATAGCATAAATGTTTTCAAATCATTGAGTTGCATTTTGAGGATGCAAGCTTAACATGTACATTTTTAGCTAGAATTCAACATACCCCCCCCCTCTCTCTCTCTCTCGCACACACACACACACATACACTTATCTTTATAAGAAAAAATTACCTGGGCAATCATGTTCAGTGCAGTTCCAAATGCCACCCATACAAATGCTAAAATTTAAAATAAGAAATTAAAAAGGTTTATATGTTTGGGGATAAGATTGAGCACTGAAATTTGTTTATAACACAAACCTATATAATACTCCTTTTGTTATATAGTACATAAAAGTAACTATAAAAGAAGGATATCCTTTTATGTCTTTTTGTTGTTGTTTTTTACACACACAAGGCTGTGTGGGTTCACTTTGTCTCCTAGTACTTGAGCAATCAGTGCAGAATGGGATCTGCATGCTTTAATCTCAGGAAGACAAATCTATGAGCAATCCTGGAGCAGTTCCCACTTTGATCCTCATCTGAGATATGTATGTTCATCAGTAACACCAGCTGATTCATTTTTGGCTGGCACCATATATTGCCAACCCTCATTCAATCAGTTCAGTTGCTATGATATGATAAGAGTCTCTAGCTGAAGGGTAGAAACTGGAGTCATCTGATAATCTTTTGTCTGACTAGCCTACCTGATTGCAACTTTAATGTGGGTACTAAAGCTATAAAGTATAATGTGATAGGATGGATCCACAGTAATTAAAAAGGAATTATATCATACAAAATGGATGAAGGAGTAAAGTTCACCATAAGCTGGTCCTGGAACTCAGCCCAGTTTAGAGCTCTACATGCTTACCTGTAACCAGGTGGCAAAGGAGTCTATAAGAATAATTCATTCCTGGTGTGCTTAAGATTTCTTCTACCACCAATTATTCAACCTATTATTTATGTCAAAGTCAATAAAGCTGTGTCTGATTTTAACAGAACCTTGATTTTTGTACAACCACATACACCCCTTTGTCCTATTCCACAGCAGAAACTGTGGGTGTAAATTTCATATTCTCCATAAAACAGAACAACAATTGACAAGATACACAAATCAGAGAGGTTATTGAAGATTACATACCAGTTACTACATTCTTGTTCAATTGTTGAACCTACAGGGAAAGCTGTCCCATGATAAACACATGGGCAATCTGATGCAGAAATACAAGTTCCATTGTTCATTATAAGGCCTGGTTTGTAAAAATAAAAAGGTTGTAAAAATATAAAGAGGTCACAATATGTAAGATAGTCCATGTTAAATATGTGCAAAGTATGCCTCAGAGTGAAGTTAAAATAATTATGCAATGAATTACCCAGGCTGCATCTGATACGTCAGTGGATATTTCTTCAAACCTAAATGAGAGGAACTAGTGGCCTTACTAATACTACAATATTCTCTTGCCAAGACTGATGGAAAAGGGAGGTCTGGAAATTTGAACTAAGAAAAGAATATAATTGTGTGTATTTCAGTTCATTTCTTATTTATTAGCAATGTTTTAAGGACAAACACATTTAATAAAAAATTAAAAGCTATGGAAAATTCTAAAGATACAAGACAAATAGTTATTTAATAGACATAAACTTTATTATTAAAATAATTCAGCTGATAAAAGTTCACTTACCATCTGGGCAATAGCATCCATCTAAGCAATGGAGGTTACTACCTAGACAGTCTTTCTCAAAAGTACAGGTTGGTGGACAACAACTAATACAATCCCGATGGATAAAAGTATCTTCACAATTGTCAGCTAAAAGAATAAGTTAGGCAAGAATGATTACACTGCAGTATACTTCACTTTAATGAGAAAAAGTATGTATTATTTTCTTTTTAAAATGTTGATTAAATATCTTTCTAAATTAAGGTTTTACTTTGCCAAAGCCATCAAATTTAGAATAAAGGACCTATATATTAAGTAAGATGAATATTAAGATGCAGAAATGTACAGTTTATAATTAAAAATAATGGCACACAAAAAAGACACCCTGAAATTTAAATCATTCTGAAACTTATTATAAAGAGTTATATATAACTATAAATTTTTTTAATGCTGTTGAGTTTATATAGCCTATTTAGCATGACCCTGAATCATTTTCATACCCTGAAATGTTCTGTCTATGAAGCCAAATTCTAAAACATGTTGATTAAAATGATTCCATTCTCTTGCAGAACAGTTGCAATATGCTACCCGTGATCTAGTATATTAAATTTTAAAAAAATTGCTTTTATTTTAAAACTTTAGTTTAACTAAAGTTTTGATTGATCAAAGTATTAAAACACACTTACTACAGGATGGAAAATCATCTCTCCAATCTCTAATAGGATAGCCTGCATGTGAACATGAGCGAGCATATTCTGTTACTGCTCGGCAATAGGTTTCATCATCATCCTTTCTGAAACAGCAAAATAAAACTTCTGGTTAGTTACTGTACATCAGAGGTGTCAAACTCAATTTCATTGATGGCCGCGTCAGGGCTGTGGTTGACCTCAGGAGGGGAGGCATGGCCAACTGGGTAGGCATGGCCAGCTTGACACCACTCCCCAAACTGCTGGCTCTGGGTAGACTGGGCCAAAGCGAAGCAGGTAGACTGGGCCAAAGTGACGCGAGTTGGCCCCTTACATTTTCCAGGATGGCTCCAAGGGCTGAATCCGACCACATTGCAGGCTGAATCCGGCCTGCGGGCCTTGAGTTTGACACTCCTGCTGTACATTCTTAGGAATTATTAGGAATAGAAATTCTTTGAAAAGGCAATACCATTTTTAAAAACTAACCTTAAAACCAATTTGTTTTTTTGGTAATAGATTTGGTTGAAATCAAGGGAAAAAAACCTCTTTTATTTATGTTAGATGTATAGCTTCTCCAAATATGGATATAGCTTAACTGGCTCATAGTCACAAAAAACAAATGTTTTTTGTAACAATGTTTCATTTCAGATCTTTTCCAGCCTCCCTGCAAAAAATATATATGGAAAATTGGCAAAGCAGAGGTCCCGTATATGAGACCTAAGAGTTTATATTCCATCCTATCATATTTTACTGCATTGAGTTCCTTCCTTCCTTTCTTCCTACCTTCCTCTTTCTTTCTTTCTTTCTTTCTTTCTTTCTTTCTTTCTTTCAAAAATAAAAATAAAAAGGTATGAAAAAAATGTTTAAATTTGTCTCATTCCAGGAAAAGTTAAGCAGAATTTTTAAAAAGTATAACTTGTTCAAGAACAGAACCCAGTGTTAATACTGAGGTGTTTTTAGAGGCTAATTCTTGGACAACAAAATTGAAATCTTAAAAGACTAAAAAGTATAATACAAATTCTGTATATTAGCATGGGTGTTATTTATCTTGTATTATCCTTTTAACTGACATTCCCTGTATTGTGTTCTATTACTCTGTTTCAATGGTTATAGAGATTTCCTTAAGTGGGAAGGCCACAAATAGAACTCTCTTCTTTCTTGGAAAAGAGTGTAGGATAAAAGCCAATTATGATACTTTTTTAAAAAACCTTTTATCACCAGAATTAATAGCTTCCAATAATTTAACCTGTGGTATAATATTGCACAATGTACAATTTAGTAATATCTCATGACGCAATCATCATGTCAAGAATGGGTATGCTATTTTGCTTTGAACAACTTTCTTACAATATATATCAAATTAATCATGAGCAATGATGAATCAATATAATTCATGATTACATACTATTTCCTTTATTAAACCAAACAGAAGTAATTCTTTTTAATAATCAAAAATAATTAATGATTAATTAACCAATGTTAATTAAACTGCAGAATTAACAAACACTATTATTGTCTATATTCATTGACATTTATTAAATGTTTCAGAAAAATGAATATTGATTCTTTTTGGTAAGTGGCAGCACAGAAAATAAACTTATTAATTAAAATTCACCTAGGAAATCCACTAGGAAATATATTTCTCCTCTGAAATTTGGCCTTTGGAAACCTCTTAACCAAGAAAGGAAACTATTACCTTTCAGCCCACATTTTCCAATACCTGGTTTACAAAATTGCTCATTGATTTTTCCTTGTATTGTGAAGGGAAGCTCAAGTTCAATTCCATCTTCAAAAAACAGAACATATAACTCTGAACCTGTCATTTCTCACAATCAAATCTAGCCCACAGGTTTTTGAGACACAGGCATCAATTCTGAATCATACCAAAAAGATTAAATGTGCATTGTGGCATGAAACATGACAATACAAACTCTGCCCTTTTGTATCATGAGTAAGATGACCAGACGTCCCAATTTTGGCGGGACAGTCACGATTTACAACAATTTGTCCCGTGTCCCGGGGCGTTTTAAAGTCCCGATTTTCTGGCTTCATGTTGAAAGCCCAGTGGATTTGCTTAAGAAATCCTAACTGGGGCAAGACAAAAGACACTCTGTCCTAACCTCTCTCTCTGTCTCAGTACTTTCATTGAAGATATTAAAACGTTAAAGCAAGAAAACGGACACACACACCCCGCGCCCCTTTTACCTCCTTTTATGAGAAAAAATGACCGAGTACTATAGAGCTCCAGGAAATACTTCGGCTAGAGAAATAGCAACTGTTCCTTCCTGGATTT